GGATGGTCATTCTTAACAGCCGAATCTTGCTAAGTGTGTGCTGTGTGTCTGGCACTTTCAGGCTGAGCACTGAATGGGTTAGCTCATTTAACCTCCTGTGAGATAGACAACGTGATTATCCCCCTTTTATAGATGAGGAAATAGAGTGTTAGAGGGATTTGGTAATAGACCTAAAACCACTCAGCTGATGAGTGGCAGAGTTGAGATTTGAACTCAGGTCTGTCCTACTCCAAGTCTTAGCTGTTAACTTTGACACTGTGTGCATGTGTGTGCATGTAGCATATAAATACATCCACATTCCCCCCACACACGCACCTGGACACATGGGCCCACCTACAGATGATGCTGAGTTATTTCTCCAGTAATAGTGTGGATTTATGGGGACCCCAAGTGCTTCCTTGCTCACTGACCCTTGTGTATTAGAAGTTCAGTCTTTAACTTTAGCTTGTGCAGCAATAATTCCCAACCCTGATGCACTTTCTTGGGTCCACTTCAAACCAAATGGATTGGACTCCTGGGAGGATGGAGCCCAGAGCATATTTTTGTTTTGTTTTTTTATTCCCCAGCTGATTCTAATACAAAGGGGGCTAAGACCCACTGGGACAGAACACGTGGACCTGGTTAAGCTGGGATCTCATCTGTAACCTGGGCTATTAGTGCTGCACTAAGCCCTGGGGCTAACCTGCCACAAGCAGGGGCCAGCCTATTCTCTTTCATTGCCGTCTTTTATGTCTGGTGAATTGGAATACAGCCTGGGATGCCTGCCAGCACAGAATCATAGAATGTCAGCCCAGAAGGGGACTTGTGTGATCATTTAGTTCATCACCCTTTTTAAAAGCTCATGAATTTTGAGTCATATAAATTCTACCTTTGAAATTTGGGGATTTCAGCTATTTCTGAGTCCAGGCATAAATTGAAATGTTCACTCTAGCTAGCTCCCAAAGTAGCCATTCATTTTTCTGAAAAAAAAAAAAAAAAAGCCTAGCCTAACAAACACTGCAATTATCTCCAACTTTCCTCAGCTAGAAATGCCCAGCCTCACATATCATTATAAACATCATCCCATTAATTCAAAGCAAGTCATCAGAGGCATTGGCATTAGCCAGACTATTCAGGCATTGGGTTATCCGTTGACTCTCCATTTAGGAGATAGAGAAATAGGGGCACAGAGATGAGCCTTGCTCAGACTCCCTCTGCAAATTGGGATCAAAGTTGAGACATGAACTCGGTCTCCTGACTCTGGACAATCATTGCCTCTATCACGTGGGGCTGCCTGCTGCTAGCTAAGGGTTCATTCTGCCTTCATGCTTTTTCACTTACTAATGGGGAAGACCAAGGAACAGTTTGGTCTTCATGGCCATCATGTCACCCTCAGATAATCCTAACCACTGCCCATACAGGCCTATCAGATCCTTGCTACTCATTGTGGCTGTGGGTGAGCAGCACTCAGAAGCATGTTAGACATGCAGGATCCCAGGCCCAGACCTACTGACTCAGAATCTACATGTAACAAGATTCTCAGCATCAAAGGTTAGGAAGTAGGACAGCAACATCGGGGTGGGGGCAGGGACATGGCAAAATTGCTCTAGGGGAGGAAATGTGTAACCCCAAAGCCACCACACCTGACTTCTGGACCACATGCAGCTCACCACCGGCCCACCACAAAAGCAAAGTGAGATTTAAAGGGCTAGGGAAGACCTTTGTCCCACAAAGTGGATTTATGGGTTCAGCAGATATTCCAATGTCTGGCCCTGGGTCTTAGCACTTCTCTCTGTCACCCACAAACTTGGATCTCAAAGAAAGCCAGGAATCATTATTTCCACCACTACGCATTCCCGTCACATCTGCATGATGTGCCCTGTGAAGTTTCCTCATTGCTGCAGCCACACCACGGGGGTGTCAGACAGACCCTAAGTCAATCGTTGGGTTATTGGGAACATATAAAATGACCCCACTCACAGTCACTGAGCTTGTGTCCTCACAGTTGGCAGCCTGGATACTGAGAATATGGACAGGAGTTGTTTCATAGTTCACTTTAGTTATTAGCTGGAGTTCTCCTGTTTTAGGATTAATCCAAAATATGCTTGGGTACTGGAGGCTGGCCCCTCCGGTGGAGATGGAGTACACAATGCTGCTGCGGGGAAAGTCTTCATCACTCGCTTGCACCCGTCCAACCAGGGTTCTAGCTAGAGAAGTAAAATACCTCCAATTAGTCCTGTTGGAGGAAGGGGGGGATGACCTGGAACATATGTCCTCACTGCTGTGGGCAGGAAGACTTTTGGAAGCATCCTTGCTGTTCAAACTCTGTATGTCTGATATCTTCAATTCTATTAAATTTAAATAATGCTAATGAACACGTGCTAGGCAACTGGCCCTATGATCCCAGCAGTACTAGGAGGTATAAAACACAATTCGTAACTTACATAGACTCTAAGAGCACCAGTTATTTTGCTATCATAAACAACAGTGCAAAGAACATCCACCCTTACACATATACCTTTTTGCAGCAGTGTTGTCTAAAAGTCTCTTGTATTTTTCAATTTCCTATAATAGGCACGATTGCTTTTATAAACAAGATGAAAAAATAAACAATTTTAAAAAGAATTTAGCAACTGATGATTATGGAGTATGGCTTTTTAAATACTGTTCCACTTTGCTTATTTGGGAAATTGTTGGTGGCGCTGCTAGAGTTCTGGGTTGCTTGTTTTATGGGAGTTTCTTCTTATAAATTACATTTCTCAAGGACAATAATCTTCTCTAATTCAGTGTGACAGCCCCAGCGTCAAGTGCATGCCCCAAAATAGGTGATCCAAAATAACATCTGTGGATTCATAGATAGCCCATTCCTGTAGAATTTGTTATTCACTGGTTAAGGTATAAGGAGTTAAAAGCTTTTTCTTTGGATTTGCATTTTGTGTTTTGGTTTAAAACTTAATGTCAGGAAATAGAGAGCAATATAAAAAGAGAGAATAAAATGGAAAGGGGATCATTTTAGAGGGAGTGTTTTGAGTTTGGTTTTGTTTGCTTTTTTTTTTTTTCTAACATGGAAGAAGTACCCATGAGTTAAAGAGCAAACACTGTAGGGAATCTATTATACAGGGGAGTTAACAGTATCACCTTCAAACTGGAAGAGATTAGGAAGCTAGACGTGAGAAATCTTATCTTTAGTAAAGGAAGAGCCTGCAAAAATCAGGGTGTCTGTCATCAATGGCAGAAAAGAAGGCCTCCAGTGAATGGAGTAGGGGATAGAGAAAATATCTTTGTTTTTAAATGAAGAAAATATAGAAATGGCAAACCTTTTTTCTATTTCTTAAATGATTTCAATTCTCTAAGTGAGCTGTATAAAAATCACAGCAGAGACTGGGAGAAAACTTAGGCTACAAAAAGCAAGGATTTGGAAGAATCAGGCAAACAGAAAAGGAAGCAATCAGGGGTTTCAGAAAAATGCAGTTTAATCAACAATTTTCAAAATTCAAGTTTCACCTGAAGGGCTCCTCAGCAGCAAAGAAAATTTAAAAGAAATAAGAGGTTCTAATAAACTACTCAGCTGTGAATCACTGTGCAAAACACTGCTCAGGGCCTCTGGGAGTCCCCCCACCCCCCCACCCCCCGAACATGCCTTTGGTTGGAATCTTTAAGGACGGTATTTGTGGTTGGTATCTTGTCTGATACTTACCCGGTTTTAGTTCTGACACATCAAATACATAGGACGGCCTATGAAAATTGAGAGGAAACTCATTTTCTGGGCTTGTTAGGATATAAATGTAGATGTTATCTAAAAATGGAAATAGAAATAAATTTAATTGCCAATCCTTATTTATTTATTTATTCAGCATCTTCAAAGACCCTCTTGCATACAGGCTCTGTGTAGAGGGGACACCAGCAAAATAAGACCTGGCGGCTCCTGCCTTCAAGATGGTGGTCACCCTTGAATAAACCAAGTGCATACTGATGTACAGACCACTATGGAACCTAGGGGAGGAATGGTCCCAAGGAGACAGGCAAGCTGAGCCTTGTAAGGATAGGCTTGGACAAAGGGGGTAGGAGTGGGATTGCAGGGTGTCCTAGACATATGCAAAATCAAAAGGTATAAAGCTGCGAATCTCACTCAGGAAAATTGCAAGCTGTTTGGCCCAGTTGGAAAGAAATGGGACTTGGAGGCAAGCAACAGAAGCTGAAGCAAGAGGCGTAAGTAGTGGCCAGGAGATGAATATCCCCACATGCCATGCCGAAGTTTGAACTTGAACTTAACAGCTACAGGCAGTGCTCAAGGACTAACCAAGGGAGTAATATGATGGCATTTGTATCTCCTGAAAACTCACTGCCAGAAATATGGAGGATACATTGGAAAGGAGCAAGACTGAAAGCAGAGAGACCCTTAAAAGACTCTTAAGTGTTGTAATTCAGCCAAGAAAGAGTGGAGCAGTGGTCATGGGTGGGAGCCCTAGCATTGCCTGGCATAGTTTACTCTTTGCTACTCAAAGAAGAGGCTCATGAAATAAAACAAAATGATACTTGCTTTTATAGTGAGGAGAGGCAACATCCTGCACCTGTGTTATCACTGTGTATTTATTTCCAGCAGCTAGATTGCTCGGATTTTCATAATCTAGATCACCAATCAGCTGGATTAAAACGGAGATATTAGATTACACAGAATAAACAATCCTACTTATTGAACTGACAAAGACAGTTTCATATACTGCTAGTGGATATGTAAATTTGCAAAACCTTTCCGGAAAGCAGTTTGCCCATAAAAGTGAGGAGCTTTAATCACAGTCTCTGAATTATTTTTTTTTAAGGAGCTTTAACAAGGTATGACCATATCTTTGCTCACTGCACAAAGATGTTCACCAAGCCCTATTGCCCAACAGCATAGCCTCACAACTTCAGATTAGTTGAAGAAAAGCACAATATTAAATCTTATGTGCAGGAATTTTTTCATTACAGTAGTCCCCTGTAATCTGTGGTTTCAGTCACCTGCAGTCAAACAGTCTGAAAATAGGTGAGTGAAGTACAATAAGGTATTTTCAGAGAGAGAGAAACCACATTCATACAACTTTTGTTTAGTGAGTTTCTTTCTTTCTTTTTTTTTGAGACAGTCTCACTATGTCTCCCTCGGTAGAATGCTGTGGTGTCACAGCTCACAGCGACCTCCAACTCTTGGGCTTAGGCAATTCTCTTGCCTCAGCCTCCGGAGTAGCTGGGAATATAGGCACCTGCCACAACACCTGGCTATTTTTTGGTTGCAGTTGTCATTGTTGTTTAGCAGGCCCAGGCCCGGCTCGAACCTGCCAGCTTCAGTGTATATGGCCAGCGCCCTACTCACTGAGCTACGGACGCCAAGCCTTTTAATGAATATTTTTACAGAGACATCTTGCTTGCTTTGTCACCCAGGCTGGAGCGTGATGGCTCTTCACAGGGGGCTATAATAACACACTGGGGTCTTGAACTCCTGGCTTCAATCCATCCTCCCACCTCAGCCTTCTAGTAGCTGGGACTATAGATTCACATCACTGCTCCCAGCTTCACATAACTATTATTATTGTATTTAGTCATAATATTTCTATTACTAGAAAATTAATAAAATTTTTATTGTTAATTCCCTACTGTACCTAATTTATAAATTAAACTTTATCACAGGTATGGACACATAGGAAAAAACACAATATATACATATTTATGGTTCTGTACTGAGATTTCAGGCATTCCCTGCAGGGGGCTTAGAACACATTCCCTGCGAATGAAGGGAGACTACTGTATACAGTAGAACCTCCACAGTTGACCACTTCCCTTCCTTGGCCACCTCAAGTTAACCTAATTTTTGTAGACCAGACGTGCACCAGTACAGCAGGCCTAGTTCCTTATGTTGGCCACCTCTGTATGTTGACCAGTTTGTTACAGTCCCTTGGATGGTCAACCTACAGAGGTTCTACTGTACGTATAAAATATATGTATAGAAAAAGTCAAGAGGGAAATATATAAAAAATTAACGGTGTTTATCACTGAGTCGTAATGATTTCCTGTGCTTTCTACAGTCTCTGCAGTGAACATATATTAATTTTCTAAACAGAAAAAATATAGAAATTATTTTTAGGGTACACTATGAACAAAGTTGGTGAGACTCTCTTGGGGATTAAAGAGGCATTTGGGTGGAGGCAGAGAAACAGCAGGGGTTTTTTAATATGGCGCTGTCCTCACCGAGCACTCCCAAACGCTCCCTGCCTGCCCTGCCCTTCCCTTTTTCTCTCCTCCTCCACCCCACTGTAAGTAAAGACCACCTTTCATGCCCATCCCTTTCCAATGAGGCTTTTGCCCCTGTGGGGTTGTTGGGGAAAGAGCTCCCCCCTCAGGTTCTCCTGTGCTTCTACAGATCCACTCAGGGCCCTGCTTTCTCTCACTTCCCACCTCCAGGGGCCAGAAATGAGCACTTGAACAAACAGAAGGGCTGGAGCACAGAGGGAACTAATGTGTCTGCACAGGCACACTAAGCAGGCATGCAAACCGCACGCTAGGCAAGAACAAATCCAGTCTTTAGCACCCCAGGCACAACTATGCGTAACAAACGATTCCCGGAACCTGGGAGAAATAAAGAGCAAATGGGGAACACAGACTCACTATTAAGTCTGTCAGTTACAGTCTCTCTGAGAGGGGTTACCTTGGAAATTTCTCTCTGTGGGGCAGCAAAAGCTCTATGCATGTTGGACCACTCTCTGATGCCCTTTTAATGAAGCAGTGACCATTAACTGACCATGATTTTCCCAGAGCCAGCTGGATCCTGCACAAATCTGCCGCTGCTGCCTGCTCCAGATGGTGTGGTGAAGTTGAATTTGTTGTTCGGTGCCTCACTGTCATCGTCAAAGCAGAACTTGTTCAGGTCGAGAAGCAACGTCCCCTTGGCTGTTCTTTCAGGCACCATAATGCTGGCAAAAAGACTCATTTCAATATTTTCCTCCAACAAATGGTGATTGAGTGTTCCTTCTCACACAGGCCCTGAGCTAGACCCCTCAACTTCAATTTCGATTCTAAGCAAGTCCATGGTTATTGCAGGAACCTCCTAACTGGTCTCCCTGGCTCTGCCCCTGCCTCCTTTCAGGCTATTTTTAACACAGTGCCAGAGGGATCCTGTTAAAATGTTGTCAGATCATGTCACTCCTCTGCTCCCACATCCCAGATGGCTCATCTTTCCACTCAAAGTCCCAACTTTGATCTGCAGGACTCTTCATAATGTGCTCCCCCCTGTTACCTCTCTGAACTCATCTCCTACTAACTATTCTCCTGTCCATCCTCCCCCCACCACTCTCGCCTCCCGGTTCTTCTGGAACACTCCACCAGGCCCTGGCCTCAGGGTCACTGCACTTGCTGGAAATGCTTATCTCACAAAAACCCACCTGGCACCCACCTGGCTCCTGCTCCCACTTCCTTTATTCTCTAAACAAATGTCACCTTATCAACAGGCTACCCCATCTAAAATGTCAGTGATGCCCCCCAGTGCATCCTCTCCTATTCCCCCCCTTATTTTTAATTCTCGGCACTTATCATTATCCCACATACTATATATTTTACTTATTTACCATGTTTATTGTCTATTTCCCTCCCAGAATATAAACTACATGAAGATCTTTACCTGCTTTTGTCATGGCACACTCAATCAATATTTGCTAAATGAATGAAAGACGGCTTATGAGACTAGTACAGTCGCAAAGAAGAATGTGAGAGAAAAATATAAATTTCACCCTCTGCCTGAGGGAGTTTATGATCTGCTTAGGGAAAATGCCTGGACTCCCTCATCTCCCATGCTTTGAAAATCGAGAATTCCTCAACTTGTGTTCTGGTAGCTTTGATGTCATAGAAAGACTTCCCAACACCTTAGTAGAAGTTTAAGGGTCAAATTTGGGGGTCTCAATCTCAGTTGACTCCAGGGTTGAGGCAAATAACACAAATGAGTAAAGCTGCCCCCCAAACTCAGAGCCTTCTGGTCAGACCCAGCTTGGTGTGGGAGACTCTGAGGAAGACCGGCTTCTACATTAGGCTTCTATTCCTTGAGAGCCCTTAACATGTTTCCAGGTTTCAGTTTCTCCATCGATAAAATGGAGATCAATCATGTCAATTAGCTTTTACTACATAACATACCAGCCCAAAACTTAGTGAATAAAAACAATAATGCTTCTCACAACAAAATGGATTTTCCCACAGTTCTTTTGGTTCTCGTTTGGTTTGGCTGGTTTCTGTGGTCACTGGCAGCTCGGCTGGAGCTGGATGGTCTAGGATGGCTTTGCTCACATGCCTGGTGGTGGGAATTTGGTTGGTCTCTGCTTCTTGTTGTCTTTCACGCTCTAGGAGGCTAGCTCAGGCTGATTGCATGGAGGTCTCAGCATTCCAAAAGTAACAAGAAAGGGCAAGTCCCAATGCACAAGCAGTTTTTAAGCTCTGTTGTGCCGTGTTTGTGAACATTCTAGTGGTAAAGCAATTCACGTGGTCAAGCGCATATTTGAGGATTAGAAAGGGAGAGCCACCTCTTGATGGAAGGAATAGCAAAACCGCATTGCAAGGGAGCAGGCTTCCAGGTAGGGAGGAATTTGGTTTTGTTTTGTCTTGTTTTGTTTGTTTTTGTTTTTACTACTTAATCATATTTTGCCTTGGCAGTATTTCTTACAAAAATATATTGTGGCTGCCATGAGAATGTGCCTAGAACACCTTCAACCATAAGAACACAGCCTGAACAGCTGGGCTCTGCAATTCATCACTGTGTATGCAATGAGGCCATGTACCAATGACTGAGATACCTAGACAGGCTCACTCCTCTTACAATGCTTGACTTTGTCTCCAGGACCCCAATGCCCTAGCTGAATGTTCCTTAGACTCATGGCAGTCTAGAACATTTCTAACCACCATCTCTCTCTTTCCTTCACTCAGGTCAGACTTGCATCCTGGTCAGATGACTTCCTCAGTCTCGTCCGCGACTCTCACCATTTTCTCCCATGGACATTTCCCCTAATAAAAGCCTCACACATTAAATCCTGCCTCAGTGTCAGAGCACCCAAGACTAACATATTAAGTTCTTCAATCCTCTGTACCTCTCTCTGCAACCGAAGTATGCTCCCTTCTACATTCCATGGCCTCCTTAATGGCGGTTAAAGTGGATTCCAAGCTGAGAACATGCAGAACAAAGTTTGATAGCGAGGACGGTCCTGGGCTGCTGAGGATAATGGCTTTGCTTGCTGGAGAGAAAGCACATACAACTGAACCTCCAGGATGCCTCGCTGGCAAAGATCACCTCCTCTGGCTTCAGCAGGATTGGCGTGTGGACACTCTGGTTCTGGCCTTAATTACACAATGTCATGATTTTATTCATAAGTACTCAGAGTAGATATCCTTTATTAAACATCACTCATATGCTGTATCATACTAAGCTCTTAAAAAACACCACCTCTAATTCCCCCATCTTCAAGAAGTTTGTAGTAGTATTTCTGGCAACCCTTTGCAAGGGAGAATAGAGTGGTTCAGAGGACTGTCCAAAGTTGCTGCCTCCAGACACCAGTCTCTATTGTGTGAGTTAGTCACTGTATACTTTACTGGGTTCCATCAGTGAATATCCAGGCATGCAGACGGATCTATCTGCTAAAGCCTGGAGATTACATCATCCAAAGAATCCAGGGTCCTGAAGCCAGGCATTTCAGGCACTCCAAAAGCGGCCTCCACATTGGCCTTTCTGGGCTGCCCATTAAGTTCTTTCATTCTCCTCAAACACTTAGTATTCTTCTCCTAAACGCGTGACTTGGAAAGCCACTCCCCCTCATTCATCAATCCCAGCCTCAAAGGCAAGCTGCCCTCGCTCCCAGCCGTTTGACCACAATTCTCTCCCCAGGCAAAGGTGACTGCGCCCAGCCGGTTCCGAATCGGCCGACCTTCTCCGCCTCTTGCTAACGAACAGCTTGCGCAGCGCTTTCAGCCCAGCGCCGGACGATTTACAACCAGAGCGGGGGCTGTCACGGCGCTTTTGATGCCTCGGTCGGGGCGCAGGGCTCATTCATCACCAGCCTGGGAACGCCGCGGGCGCCTCGGCAGAGGGCTGGGGGCCTGCGGGTACTCACGCGGGCGGCAGGGGGCGCCCGCCCCCTCCAGGCTGCTCTCGGCCTCCCGCTGCCTGCTGCTGTCCCCACCCCTCCTGCACCTGCTTTCGCCGGCACCGCTCCCGAAACCCCCAGAGAAGAAATCCTGAGGGACAAGTATCAGAGACTGCGGAGTCCTTTCGTTCTGTTTTGACCTGCTTTGCGCTCAGCTTTGACACAGCTGGAGGGGAGGAGGAGAGCTGGGGGAGGAGGGTGGCAAACAGACGGGGAGAGGGGAGAGAAGCCGGGCGGGAGGTTACCGTCTCGGGGCTTCTCGGCCCCCAGCTGCCCAGAGTGCAAATGCTCCGCGGCCATGCAGACTTAAACCTGTGGGCAAAGGAGCCTTTTTGGCAGTCACAGGATGGCTAAGTATTAATCTTGCTGGAAAAGCCCAGGGAAGGGACTTGAGTGATGTTCAGAATACCTCCAGTAATAAATACAATTAGTCCAGTTACTGACTTGGTGTTGGCCTTCAGGGCTAATTTGGAGAGATTATAGAGAGGACTCTGTAAGTGCTGGCCTGAACAGCCTTGGGTATTCGAACTGTTTTTTCACCAGCTAATACGGAACACAGTCTGCAAATGTTCTCCTACACTTCAGGGGACTCTGGACCACAGGAAGTCAAATAACAGATACACACCCAAGGAAGAAAAAGGACAAGGAAGGTTTGAGACAGCATAGCCCTCTCCAGGCATTGACACCTTCTCACGCCTGAAGCCCCATCCCCCACCTCTGGGGCGGGGAAACAGAGAAGATAAGAGGGGAGGAGTTTCCCAGGCTGCAATGCGACCACCAGACCACCCGAGAGGACTAACAGAGATTTAGAATTTCTTTTCCTTTTTTTTTTTTTTTTTTTTTTGAGACAGAGCCTCAAGCTGTCCCCCTGGGTAGAGTGCTGTGGCATCACAGCTCACAGCAACCTCCAACTCCTGGGCTCAAGCGAGTCTCCTGCCTCAGCCTCCCAAGTAGCTGGGACCACAGGTGCCCACCACAACGCCTGGCTTTTTTTTTTTTTTTTTTGGTTGCAGCCATCATTGTTGTTTGGTGGGCCGGGGCTGGATTCGAACCCACCACCTGAGGTGTATGTGGCTGGTGCCTTAGCCACTTGAGCCACAGGCGCTGAACCAGATTTAGAATTTCTAAGAAAGCCTAAATGTGACTCCATCCCAGGGCCCAGACTCAACAGAGGGTGGACATAATTTATGCATGCAATAGTGTGGAAATCACAATCCTAATTACTTACCACAACCATTCCCACCCATGTAGCAGACTCCGAGGTCATGAACACTAGGGCTGGGATAGGAGCCCATCATGTGTTCAAGATTGTGACTGACTCTGTCAGGGTCTCTGCAGGAAGCAGATGGCAGGTGAAGATAAATCTAGGAGGACTTTGAAAAGGGGCTATTCAAAGTGCTCACAGGGTATGTGGAAATCTCCAGGGATGCTCAGTATTTCAGGGCTAATAAGACAGGAGCACCCTCACCATCTCTAGGCGCAGGGGAGCCAGCGGAGGAAACAGTTTCTGAAACCAGGGACAGAGAGCATCATGTACAGAGGGGTTGCCTTATGGAGGCTGAGACCTCCAGGAGTGAGGAATACATCCAGTCCACACAGAGGGAGCAAGGAGATAAGTACCCTCTCCCTCCGGAGGTCCCCACAGGCCACGCAGAGCTGGAAGGCAAGGGAACCAGTTGGTGTCGGTGCAGGTCAGCCTTCTGGGGCACAGTGCAGGGTGGAAACTGGATCTCAACAGACAGATCAAGGGTATGTCCGGAACAGAATTCACCTGTATTGATATCAGACTTAGGACACACTGATTCTCTAGCATTATGCTGGGCATGTCAGTTGAGAGAACAGAGACACGTTCATAAACCTAATATGGGAATTTTTATTTCTATTGCTCATCCTAGACTATCCTTGTCTAGTCCTTTGTCCTTTGTATTTATTGGGTCTGTGTTCAAACTCACCTGGAGAAAACTTGCAAAACCAGTCAAAGATAAACTCAGGAGACTCTCTCCAAGGGGACATCTGGAACAGATTTGCTGTGGTCTTCAGCCTCGCTCTAGATGCGGGGCCCTCTCTTGGCAAAGGTCACACTGCTGAGGGGTCCCCCTATCACCTCCAAGAGCTTTTTTCAGGCTCTCAAGAAACCAGAGAATGGCTGGTAGGACACCCCAGAGACGAGTCTAAGACAGGAAATGACTAATAGTGTTGCTTTTTGATAAAATAGTAGAAAAACAATATAGTTTTCAAAACTCCTATTAACCCAAGATCACAAGGGACTTTGTTTTAAAATAACAGTGAATAGATTGTGAGACAAAGAATGGGTCAACATATACAAAGTAACTCTCATATCCCACCTGTATCTGCATTTTTCCCTTTTGGTTGCCTTTTGTTTATATGCAATTGAGTTGTGAATTAGATGCTTTGTTTCGTTTTACATAAGTACTTTGTTTGATTTATTCACATTACCCGTGGTATGTTTCTCTGGGAGTTCCTATTTACTAATCCTAAGTCTCAAGCATCTATTATAACTGCTAACAGTACCATCTCGCCACTGGCGGCAATAAATAAAGAAAACGCACAGTCCAGAGAGTAGCTAACAAGTCCCTGTGGTACTTTTCACCAACAGAGATGAGCAGGTTATACAAGGGAGAAAAATAAGAAACAATTCTTAAAAGAGTAAGAAAATGGAGAAGGGAGATAATGAAGAGGAAAGAAAATGAAAGGAAAGAAGAAAAAAGGATGATGAAAAGAAAACCTATGAGCAAAATGGGATGGTTCAAATCTACTTATTTTCACGAGCTATTTTCCCAAATGCACATCATTCTTCAGTTCCTCCTGCGAACATACCAGAGAAGCCACAGGGCAAGGGCCACCCAAGAGGTCAAGTGTTCAGCACAAGTTTCAAAGCATGAATACCTGAAGGTGAACTTTTTGCATGTGGCAGGGTTGTCATTGATGTCTTCCACAATGAATGTTATCTGGATGCGATTCTCCTGACCTCCATGGGGTCTATCCTTCACCAGAACCTCTACAGAAATGATGGGATTTTGTCTTAATTCGCCTGCATCTCGGTCTATCCTCTGGGCCACGTGAATTGTACCAGTCACTGAGAAGGCAAAGGTTAGAACGTGACCCTTTGAAGATAAATGAAGAGTAAAGGAACATGGAAACTTGGAAAATAATGGAAAGGATCATTCTAATATGAGGATTGGCTTACACAGAGAATCTTCTCTCTACAAACATGGTTTTTGGAAAACCCGTGGGAGTTTCTGTGTTAGATATTTCTTGGATATCTGGTTTGACCCTTCTAGAATTTTTCCACACTAGACTTTGGGGTTGGGCTCCTAGCAGCAGTCCTTGCCCATAGTTGACTGGACAGGTGGATAACTGGCTCCAGCTTGACCCCTTGGGCTCTCTTCTTGGGGAATTTATAACTGATGGGCATATGTTTAGGAATCACTTAGGTTAATAGTGGAGCTACAAGTAAAAAGTCAGAACTCTAGCATGGAGGTCCCAGGAGCAGCACTGGCTCACATGCTTCTTATGCCCCAGCCATTTGAGTCTTTCTTATGAGATACCCAGTGTCCCTGTGATAAATGTCCTTACCTATTTTTTTTCCTCTTGCTTAGTTTGGTTTGCCTTAGTTTCTTTCACTTACAACCAAAGATAACTTTGCTAAAAAGCCCTCTTTACGGCTCAGCGCCTATAGCTCAACCGGCTAAGGCGCCAGCCACGTACACCTAAGGTGGCGGGTTCGAATCCCCAGCCCAGACCCGCCAAACAACAATGAC